AGAGAGAATTTATTTATAATTCGAAGATTATTTTATCATTTTACTATTCCTTTATTGTCTAGCCATTGCTTGTTACTTGATGTTTAAAATAATAGTAATATATAATGATTTAAAATTGGAATTATAAGTGTTTCCAACATGATTAACATCTAAACAGCTTGGATTGGTATAAAAAAAAATTAGCAAACTCTTTTGGCAATTACTGCGTAGCGTCAATCTTCTGGTTCATGGAATGAGAATCCACCATTATTATGGGATCTATTTGTAAGATTTTTTTTCTTTATTCTTATCTTGTTGCAAGATGACCCAATGTTTGCATTGTTACTTTAAATAATTGAAAGTGATCTAATCATTACTTTTTCTTGGTGGAGAGAAGATTTGAATCCTCTTCTATCCTATGAAAAGATTGTTGGAAAAATCCCAAATTCATATCCAATCTCTTTCTTTTTATTTTCCACGATATAAAATTTGAGATAAGTTTTTTTTCAAGATCAATGGTGGAAGATGAATCTGTCCCAAAATTAATTTTTTGTAGAGAAAAAAACCAAGAAAATTAACGAAATGATTTGAAATTAAAGAGAAAATACAAAAATAATGACCTTAATATGTATGTCAATATAATATAAATTTTTTCAAAAAAAATTTGTGTCATATTTGAACTATTGGAACTATTATATTTTTTGACTCTTCGTCATTTTGCTTTTTATAAATTGCAACATTGATGTCACATTTATTAAAATAAAAGAGACTTGTTCCCGAATTGAAGAAAAGTTGAGCTGCAAGACAAAAGGGCCAAAGTAGATTTAACAATTTTAAGCACGGCATGATAATACGATATAAGAGAATACAAAATTAAATAAATTTGAGTTTAATCTTATAGTGTTTCGTGTTTTAATCCTATTAGACATAGTTAACACATTTAAAATATATTTAATTAATGGTATTATTGTATTTAAACGTATATAAATAATATGTTTTAATGTTAATGATTGATTTTATTAGTATAATAATAAATTTTAGGTATGTTGTTTATGTCAAATTTTATTATATTTGATATTATTTTTTTTATAATTATTAATTTTAAATTTAAATAATAAAATTATATTTAAGTATAAATATTTTAAGTTAATCTTGTTAAATGTGTTAATCATGTTAAAAAAATTATGTTAATCATTTAATCATGTTTATATTAATAAACACAATTCAATGATTAACATAATTTTAACATGTATAAAAAATCTTGTGATGTGTTTATTCATTCATGTGATGTGTCATATAAAAAATCTTGATATATTTAATAAACGTATTAATCGTGTCATATTAGATGATTATTAAACATATCTATATACATATTTTAAAATATTGATATAAATAATTATTTATGTTGTATTCGTATTTAATTTTATCATCGAGATACAATTAAGTCACGAAAACACGAATTATCATATTTAGACAAAAATATGTTGCTCTTACAATAATTATAACTGAGCAAAAAGGTACATTGGAGTAATGTATCATTTCTTTTAATACAAACTCTTCTTTCAATTGGAGAGACGTTGAGATTTGTGGTAACACCATCGGAATTGGATAAATCATAGTTTAGTACGTATCTTCCTTACTGTAATTACAGCCTAAAAAGAGTTGTCAAGGAAGATACCAAAGGGCCTAAAAAGAAATGCAACTTTGGGATTATGTGTATCTAAGTATACGAAAATTTGGCTCTATTTAATGCATAGATATGATTGGACATCCTTGAGTAAGGATAAGGAAATTGCAAGCTAGGGTCCGAGAAAAAGCATGCCCTTGCCGTGGGGACCTCTATGGATAGTGATACAGTCTCCATTATTACATAAAAAGATAAATATTTCATGGCTTTTTACTCAATAGGTTTATTTTTTGGTTACCCCTATTTTTTGTTGCACTGTTTCCATTCAGACCAAGCCAAATAGACAGGTATGAAACTCTTTAATATCTGTATTGAATAAGAAAATTGATTGCATTGTAATGAAATTATTTATTAAAAGTTAAATCAACATGAAAGAGTCAATTACTTTTCTTTTTCTTTTTCATTTTCAGTTTCTTTCTGCAACTAGAGAAATGGATGTGGAAAGATCCTAATATTGAAATGGTCTTCTTCATTTGTTTTATTTTTTAAAAAATAAAAGTAACCTTCAATTTGTTTCCCACATTTAATTGGTGCTATTGATGAATTGACATTTAAATGGTACATTTCTTTACACACCTTTCAAAGCCAACATAAAAATGTGAAAAAAAAATGTTTGATTGAAAAGTTTTAAGTAACATTTTATTTTTGTGTTGGGAATTACAAATGAAGATTTTACCAGTTTTAATACTCCTTTTTATTTTCTAAAACAGAAAGAAGAAAGAGTAACATGAACAGTTTAACTTAATATATAACCCTCACGAATAACTATGTTTGAATTAGTACACAAAAGGGCTCCACTTCCTGCGATCATGTCAAAGTGGTTGGTATAGATTGAAATAGAAATAGAAAGAAAGGCTCTGGGCAGCTGCAGCATATGACCTTGACCCAGGAAAATTAAATAGAGGGCAGATGCAAATGAAATAATAAAAATACCTAAAGAAAGTGTTGTGGAAAGGGCCAACACCAGCCAATGAGGCCACAGTAACCACTGGGTAGCCACCCACATTGGACTTATTTTTCTGTACACTCAAAAAGATCTCAATTTAACAATTTTACATCTTTCAAATGCACACCAAAAGCCAAGAAAAAATTGGGTCAACCATTTCAAACTCTCTCTCTCTCTCTGTCCTTCCTTTTTCCTCCTAGTTTAATTGTCTTTCCCTCTCAATTCTGCTCCAAATACCAGAATTTTAAGCCAAACGCGTTTAGAATAGATTAAATTGGAAGATTCTTATGTCACGGACTATTACTATTCTAATCAACAAAATTAATTAAGTTGGAAATGTTTACTGGTTAAGATGCCTTTGGTAATAAACTTTATTTGGCGTTACAACCTTTGATTGTCTTTCATTACATCATTCATTTGGTTTTTTTTTTTTAATTTCACCAAAGTGAACCTGTTTCCGCTTCTGCCTTTCATCACTTACAAGAACTGTTCGCACATGAATGAAAATGACTTAATTAAATTAAATTGAAAAAAAAATAGTGTGACGTTGAATGTATGACTTGACTTTATAAATTAAAATTTTTTGTAAGGTGTCGCTATTTGAATAAATTGATTTTCGTAACTTCAAACCTCGATCATTCCCTTTATTTATTTGCTCCGGCGTCACTAAATAGTTTCTCAAACTGTAATTGTAGGATTAGAGGAGAGAGTAATAAGTTTGGGAGGCCAAAATATTAGAATAACGATACTCTTACTTCCCTAATTAATTACCTTTTTTAATGGATCCAAAAATCAAGGTTAAAAATATTGATATTTTGAGAAAGTTAATATATATATTAGCACCCCTTTTAGTTTTGGATTCTTCCGAAGCCTTCCATTTTTCATTATTAGATTGGACTAGAAGAAGTGGGAAATTTCCATGAAAACTATATATTCTCCGATTGAGAAAGAGAACTTGGAAAATGAAGACAGCAATATAAAGAAATTAATAATAGAAGTTAAATGGCCCTAGCACTTTAAAAAAATAAAAGGAAAACCTAAAGTAGGATGGTCTAAATGCCTACAATATCAACTCCTTGTGCAATGACTTGTGTTTTGTTTGAATATGGCAAGATAGTTGTGCTTTCACGCAAATGGCTCCATGGCCTCCCACTTGCTTTGTGGTCCTTTGGCCTAAAGGTATGAAATTAGTTGCCTTGGACAAGTAGCAACTGCTTTGAAAATTTCACATTCAAACACCAAGAGCTGTTGGTTTGTATTATTCGTTTCTCCACATGGTGTGGAAGCCCACAAGTTTGGAAGCTAAAGGCCAACCGTTTTGATGCTTTCATTATTCCGCCGGTCAAAAGTCAAGCTTTGTTTTTGACCCCTTGAACCACAAGATTTCTTACCCGGTTGGAGAACCCCATATCTATGCCACCATATTGCCACAACCTTATGCTTCGAAATTACAATAGAATATCTGCTTATTCCACCTCAAATTCAGAATCAGGATTTCATAAAAGATTTATTAAGAATAAAGATTTAAGTATTGCTAAAGGAGTTGAACATAGATTGATCTTGTCTTTAGTTATAAGGATTCCAGTTGTTTTTACTGTAATCAAACGTGATGGAAAAAGGAAAAACAATACCATTTCATTCTTTTATAATGCACAAAAGAGTTCTTTATTTTGGGTTGGCATCCATCTCTGTGTGGATGGTAATTCATCACATACATTTAAGTATTCGTTGGTTGTGTCGTATTTCACTAACTACTTACGATGTTGTCCCATTGATGCATTGAATTTCATATATAGGTGTGTTCTCTTAGAAGGTTACATCTCAAATTAAATATTTTGCATAAACGTTGAATCTTATGTGATTAAGACATCTCAATTACATTTATCTAATCCTGAAATTGAATAATTTTAGCTATCAATCTTCTGCATATAAAATGAAAGATTCTTTGTTTCCAGATCATGCAAACTTCTATCCTTTCCAATCCATTCTTTTTTTTATTTATCAAAAGTCAAAGAGATAAATAACAATTAAAGGGAATGAATCAAACTCAAATCTCAAGGTTGAAACACCACATACGTGTAACACAAAATAAATTAATGAATCACACTCCAATCTTATGTCACTCTGCCACTGGTTTTTCTAAAACTTTGGCAGAATGATATAGTACCATGAACATGGTAGAAAATACTAAACTAGAGATGGAAAACCTCAATTTTCCACTGCTTTTCACTATACCTATAAGCCTTTATATACATACAAACCCATCGTATATGTACTTGTAACTTCAAAGTTAAAAGTTTCTAAACCTATCAAAGAAGTGAAAAAAAAAAGAAGAAAAGAAATAGGCACCGAGGGGCAGATTCTTGCAACAAAACCGCCAACATATGATCAGGAAACTGCAACCCCAAACCCGTTTGTGTTGCCATTCAATAAACAAAACCTGGAAGGCTTAGGCTGGAAATTCCTCCTCCTTCGCATGTCATGGCCGGATGGCTTAATTATTTGGAGCAGAATCGCCTTGATGGAATTTGCTTTGGCTATGACAGCTAATTCCCAGTGATTTGGTGAGACGCGAACCACCACTGTCCGACCGGGTGGCTTGTTGAAATTCCTGTGCAGGTTGCACCTGAAGGAGCCTGGGTGTGTGGAAGGGGAACACAGGCATGCACGGGACGTCGGTGACTTGGAGCTTGATGATGATGCATTTTTGGAGGCCATGGGAGTGGTTCAAAACTTCAACCGGAAAGAGGGGATCTAAGAGGTGGCAAACTAATGGAACGTAGCAGAATATAGCGGATTTTATAGCTTTGAAAGCCTGTTTAAATTACCTTTAAAACCTTTTGTTTTCGTATATTTCTAACAGCATGACCTTATGGTTTTCTGGGTTGTGAAACAGAGATCTTGTTATGAGTTGGGTATCTAAAAGAGAATTTGTTAAGTGGAATACCAGTTTATTCATATTTAAATATTTAGTTCATTAATTAATATATAACCTTTTATTTAAAAAATAAATTCGAATATTTTTCTCTCAATTATAAAAGAAAAATACCAATTTTCCTACCAACGCACGCTTAGTTTTTCATGTGCAACAGTCATAAAACAAACCATTAGTTTCCCTTTTCAGAGCATGGAATCAGCTGGAAATAACAGGGTCTATTCAACGGTGACCGCTAAATGCATGATAATGAAGGAGAGAAACTTTTATTCCAATTTCCAGCTATTATAAAGGACTCATAAAATTCATATGGTGGTCCACTGCCATTGACATTTGAGTTGCAACCCTACCAAGGGCGGTTATGGGTTCCTTTCTTTCATCTTCATATTCATGCCCTTCCAAGCAGAATTCCAATTTAATATTTCATATTTGGTTCCGAAGCCTACAAATTGCCTGGAATCTTTACATAAAATCAAACTGGAAAATAATAGTGGCCTTTGCAGGAAGAAAGTGTTGTAGTCTTTCAGACTGAATAGTATGACAGATCAGGAGTCTTACTCTCAAGAATGACATTGTTTTAATATTTTCAAAGAAGATAAGATATCTCATCGAATCCTTCAAGGATAACCTTTTCCTTAAAATAAGCTCTTATAACAATTATGAAGAATTTTAATTAAGCAAAAAGGGGATGATTATATATATATATATATATATATATATATATCCAATTCTTCATTAACATATGATTTTTCATAAGAAAAACAAAATTCAGATAAGTTATCTCTCTTTTATGATAAAAAGTTACTGCAATAAGAACCTTACACAAATGAAAAAGATAATATTTTTTGTAAATATAATTTTTCTTACTTAATAAATATATATTTTTAATTAAAAATATAATCTCGTGATAAAAATTAAATAAAAAGAACTGACTTAAATTAATTTGATATAGAATGTAATTTTACAAAAGATTGAATTACATAAAATTTGCATTATTATTATTATTGATTTTTTATTTTTTATTGCTTGTCCTGAGATGGCCAATATAATATTTGTAAGATTGGATTTAAATTAAGATGAGCAAATTTGAGTCGACTTGGTTTTCTTGCTGAACTTTGAGGTCGGCTCTGTGGCGGCAAGAAGGATAGAGCTTGCATGAATTTGGCCCTGGCAAGAAGCTAACATGGCCACCGGCCATGTCTAATAACCTCACAAAAACTTGACACGTACTATAATTGGCACATTCAAATCCAAAATTGGAGGCACCCTAATCAAACTGATAAAGACCCGACACCAACTTTTCTAGACAACTTTGGTCTTGTCACACAATTTAAAAAGGAAAATGTTAAAATGTCACGAAAATTTGTCCATGGAATGGAGTGATCATTTCGTAGGAATTGGTCAGGGGCCTCCATGATGCCGACTATTCAGATAGAGGATTGTAAAAAAGGGTCGGAATTTTTTTTTGTCAGCAATTTAGTCCAAGTAAATATAATAGTGTAATAAATTAAAAATTACACCACTTATAATATTTTCCTTAGGGGATTAGCTTGTAAAATAACCCAATTTTACTTTCACTCAAAGAGTTGCAAGTGGGTTGAGTGTGGAGAAAGTGATATGGCAGTTCATCAAGCTTTTTCTTTTACGGATGCTGATTGATGGCAATGACATTAAATGTTTAGTCCATTAGATAAGAATATCATAACGTTACTTGCCGCTTTATTTCCTTTTCTAGACAACCAATGTTACTTCTTTTACTTCCCTAATTTATTTCATCTTATAAATTGGTTATGTCGGTCAAGGATGGAAATCTAGGTGTAGCTAATTACTTGATTTGATGATTCATAAAGAATACAATGAAAAGGTCAAATGATGGTTGTCTTGTCAATAGTTGGAAACATCCACTTATTTGTAATTCTTGAATTGTTACAATCAAAATTCTCACCTGGCACCCAACACTCTGCCAAAATCTTTATAGTCTACAGATGAAGCCTATTACCTCTTGGATTAGGTGGCCGATGTTTTCCATGAGAGGAATCGACTACGATTCTGGGTCTCTTTGGGCCTTAGCATAGAGCCCAGCCACTTTGAACCCCATTTCCAATTTTACAATAACAGAGAAAATGAAGAAACTAAATAGCCTAGAGATACAAGTTTCTGACTTTTTTGGGGTTGATTAGTCCCTGAACGATTAGAATCGAGTTTTCCCCATCGTTTGTAAACTGCAGCTTTACATTAATAAAATAGAATAATTTTCTGTTCTTCAGAAGAGAGAGGGATGCATTATGCTAAGAGGATACGAAAGTCATTCCTTCTAGAAGAGGCTTCCAAAATACTAAATTACCTTGTGCATGGCAAAATTCCAGCCGAAGGATAACAAGCACAATGTACAAAATTTTGCCATGTATGATACTCGAAATATACAAGCAAATTAACAACCTGCTAATTAGGCTTGGAGTTCATCGACCCTTGTCTAGGCCTTCTGATCTAGCATCGTACTGTTTAGTGTAAACACGATGTCTTCTCTCTCTTGCATAGATTACCCAGAAGATCAATGACAGCATCACAGCAGCAGATACAATTACTAATCCAATGTAGATCCATTGACTATAGCGCCGCAGACCAGGACAATATTCATGACTGATGTCTGTGAATGTATCACGCACAAAAGTGCAGTCTTGCAGATTAACAAGGAATGGACCATAGCGATACAAAGCATAACTGACATTCACTGCAGCTAACATCTGAGAGTAAATTTGAGGGGTCAGCCGCCCAGGTGTAGAACAAATCCCAGAGGATGAAACCTGACAGGTATAGTTCCTCCAAACCTGTTTGAAACAAAATATACAGAGTCATGAGAGTTTCTTTTGATTTATTGCTATTCATTTAGGGGAAACTAAAAATACCATGACGAAAGGTTTTGGATAGGCAGCCTGGAGACAAGCTAAGAAAATAAAAACAAAAATAAAAGATTTTAAAGCCTCTTATGCAAAAATGTTATTAACCCTCCGAACAAAGCCAAAACCCACAGCTAAACACCTTAAGTGATAAAACTTGCAGTCTGTAGTCTACAGCATTTTATAAAGAGTACTGCAACCAGCATATTTGAGTGAGACTTAAAATGAGGCAATATATCTGAATGGGAGGAAATTCCAGAAAGTATCATAGAGTTAAAAAAGAACCAAATAGGCACTAACTTGCGATTGATGCAATTATGGCAGTATTTAGCCTTTGTAAGTCTATCTGCCTAGGACAGCCATTGGCCTTCAAGACTTTTTTATTTAATTTATTCACTGCAGTCTATGAGATGAAATTCTTAGCCCTCTGGATGACCTGAAAGTTATTGACTGTTTGATTTGGACCTGGGCTGAGACTAAGGCAATTGAACCCAGGAGAGAGCAATTGGCTAATGCTTGATGGTAATTGAGCCAAAATTCATTATTTAAGCGTTTCATTCCGACATGTACAATTATTAATGTGTGAATGTGTGCGTCTGATGCATGCCTAATTATGTATGGCCAAGCAATTTCAACTTATATTTGAAAAGGCTATTGTTATTACCTCTGAGGATCTATACAAGTCCACCTCGCCAGATGCACACTGCCGATTTGTGAGATTAGAATTAAATGGGTTGCAAAGAACTGGCACCAACGGACCAGATTGATTGTAATATAAAGGCAATGCTGGTGGAAAATTTTTGTTTGCAACATTATTGAGGACACCATTCACGACATTCACAAGTTGGTAAGTGACATTCTTGGTTCGCAACAAGGTCTCTTGGGCTGTTGCATTGTCCACACAGGGCAGAATGTCATCTAATGCAGTATGGGCAGTGGGATTCTGAACCCATTGATCCATTGCAACGCAGGCATCTCCAACTACACTGTTAAGCAAGGAAGACAATTTTAATTTAGAGAGCATATTAAAGATGATTATAACAATAGTCTTGAGCACTGACATCCAACTAAAATTAAATCTTAAGGTATATCACTATTGACATGTTCTTTAATCAGAGTGTCTTAGAAACTTGCCAATGTGAGGACCATAACAAAGATATGCATCTGCACTAAGGTATGAAAGAGCAAATCGAAAAGAGAGAGAGGGAGAGAGAGAGAGAGAGATGAAGAAAGTGACTTTGTTTCGAGAGAGATGATGTCGAATTATCAGTGCTTTTAATTTGTTCCCACAGATTCATTATCGATCGTATATAGTTGGTTGACAATAGGAGAACCTCTGAGCCCTAACAACGGAAAAAAAAAACAAAACATAGACAAAAGAAGAACTTATCTTTTACCCTAAACCTAGAACAACATGAGTCATCAGAGAAACAAACCTAAAATTTTACCCAAGAGCAAGTAATCAAGTAAACAGGGATGGGAAGAAAGTTAAACCATAAGTTGTATAGAAAGGAGTTTGATCCTAAAATTTTAACTCTAGAAATTTAGTCTGGCATAGACTAGAGTAGGCAAAGATTTATCAAATTCTACATTCCCTTTGATCCTCTCAAGAAACCATAATATTCTTTCTAGCACAAAAAAAGGTGCAAATGGGTTTCTTTAGTTAGCAAGTTTGTTAGCACTTCTTATCAGTGTTAACTCAGTAGATATAAGACTCTGGTATTATATGAGATTCAAGAAAGTGCCCAACATAAATTAGACCACAATCAAGATAATGCTGTATTAAATACTTAAGTGATAATTGTTATGCCAGTAATAGGGCTTAAAAAGTTGATATGCAAAAGAAAACTGCTTTACAAGGAAGAAAATTCAGCCAGAAAGCAACC